CACACACACACACACACACACACAATAGTGTTGAAACCATAAAACGATCATCAGACATGAAGAGAGCACAGGAAGCTCCAGCTTTCACACCTGTTGTGGTTTGTTTGGTGTTTTTGTACAGGTGCACACATTTTACGAGGCAGTGGGTTATATGATAGGAGCCCAGACAGACCAGGCTGTCCAGGAGCACCTCATAGAAAAATATATGCTGCTCCCTAATCAAGTGTGGGACAGCATCATCCAGCAGGCCACCAAGGTAGGACTTCTGCACCCTACACCGTCCATTTGACACAAACAACCGTTTGGTAAGGTCACTGTTCCTCTGCTGTAGAACGTTGACATCTTAAAGGACCCAGAAACTGTCAAACAGCTCGGCAGCATCTTAAAGACTAACGTCAGAGCCTGCAAGGCTGTGGGACACCCCTTTGTTATCCAGCTGGGACGCATTTACCTGGACATGCTCAACGTCTACAAGTGCCTCAGTGAGAACATTTCTGCTGCTATTCAGACAAACGGTAAGAGCTTTAGGTTGGATGATGACCAGTGTCCTCTTCAGTTGTCTGTCAGTATCATTATTTACATGTCACCCTGTCCAACAGCATGTCTCTTTAAGCCAATTCAAAACTTTGCTGCTTCCTGAACTTAAAGTAGTTCAAACTGTGTAAAACAAATCTTCTTTCCGTACAACTTCCTTTAGTCATTCCTGCCAAATATGTGTTTGTTCAGACTGCAGTAAGGTTAGACATTTCAAGTGCTACACTTAATATTTCTGTAAATGGTCCATCTGTCTTTCCTTCAGCTCTGAGCAGATTGATAGTACAAAAACCAAGCTGCCTCCTCCGTGCTTCACTGTAGGGATGGTGTCAGTAAGTGGTAGACTAAGCTTCACCCTGCAGCTCAGCTGTTAGTCATCCTTTAGCTGCAGAAACAGGACATTTATTTAAAGTAGGGGGGTCAATGTTCAGGTTAAAAAACAGGACAAAACCTAATGAAACGGATAAGTTTGAATGTTACACTCGTGTTGTTCTGTGTTGCAGGTGAGATGGTGACAAAACAGCCCCTGATCCGGAGTATGAGAACTGTGAAACGAGAAACTCTGAAACTAATCTCCGGCTGGGTCAGCCGATCAAATGACCCTCAGATGGTGAGACTAAGATGAGGGAGCAGGGTAAAGCTCCAGCAGCACCTGCTGTCTGTGAATGACAGAAGACAGCTTCTTTCATTGATCTAAACTTTATTCARTGACCAACAGGTTTTATTTTATGGTCTTCAGGATCAGTCAGCGTCATCTAAAATCTCTGCAGTACATACGGAGATGTTGGTTTGTGGGCGGAGTTTGTCCCAACAGTGATTGGTTGGGTTGACTTGTCTTGTGAGGCAAGTTAAAAGATGAAGTAATGCAATAGTAAAGTTATTGCCATGTAAACCTAATTTATGAGTTTAAATCTAGTGCTGTTAGCACCTTCCTTTCTGAGGTTAGGACTAATGATCAGTGTTTGACAAATAACCCTGCCTGACTGCCCGGGTCACATAAAACACATATTCAGGCTGATGTGTCCCGATGCTGCCCAACCAGGTACATAAACTCTTTTTATATGGCTGCTGCACATCCTGCCACATGTACTGACTTTATATATTGTGCAGCTAGAACCGTCCTGTCTCAAGTTAGGACTAAATTAATATTAATATTTAAAGTTATAAATGCTTTCTGTCTGTTGGGACTGTTATCTGTCCTCCCCAGTTCCAGCCAATCAGGTCTTTGATAAACTGCTCACAAGTCAAACAGACCAATCAGGTCTTTAACAACCTGCTCACAAGTCAAACAGACCAATCAGGTCTTTGATAAATTGCTCCCACACACCAAGAACCTCCCTTTTGGTGACTGCAGACCTGTTTTTGTCTGATCACAACAGGTGTCTGCTGTAAATGACACTTTGGATGTCACTGAGACGAACTTTAAAAAAAAAACTGTGTGAAGTAGTGTAGTTGTAGTTTGTAGTGTGTAGTTTGTTTATTCAAAGTAACTTTAGACATGGCTCTTTTATCAGCTACACACATGTTGTTCTTTAACCATCCAGTTAGTGTAAATGTCATTAATATAAAAGGTTTAATTAGTTTTTAACCATGGTACAACAGTTAGTTTCATTTAGTTGTTATTTTAACGACACTCTGGTTAAATGATGTCACTGATTCTGTCTTTGTTTCCAGGTTGGAGAGAACTTTGTTCCTCCTCTGYTGGATGCGGTCCTCATAGATTACCAGCGTAACGTCCCTGCAGCTCGTGAGCCTGAGGTCCTCAGTACCATGGCYACAATAGTCAACAAGCTGGGGGGCCACATTACCAATGAGATCCCCCAGATCTTTGATGCAGTCTTTGAGTGCACTCTGAACATGATCAACAAGGTGAGGCTCAGCTTCTGTGGGTATTGAATGAAGACATGGGACTAAACTAAAGCCACAAGAAGCTTTTAGTGGTCCRGGTCACTAGACTATCAGCAGTTCTTGACTTGAACCAACTAACCGGATCAAAGCTGCATTAAAACAGYAGAAGGAAGCAAATGAAAAGGTCATTGTGTTTTATTCTGACAGAACTTTGAGGAGTATCCAGAGCACAGGACCCACTTCTTCTACTTACTACAAGCTGTAAACTCTCACTGCTTCCCTGCATTCCTCGCCATCCCTCCAGCCCAGTTTAAGCTGGTTCTGGACTCCATCATCTGGGCCTTCAAACACACCATGAGGAATGTGGCCGACACCGGTATGATGACTGAAACACTCGCACTTGATTGSTTTAACAACACATAAATAGCAAGAATCAAACTTCCAAATGAAAGAAGATAAAAGTGAAACAACTCTGGGCCCTTTGGACCTCAGATCTGATGATCAACTACCTGAACTACTTTAGAAACCAAAACCAAAACTATCTGCCACATTTCTAAAGGTTTCATCTGGTTCTTCTCAGAGGTCTGGATGAAACCAACCTTGTCCAGACCTAGGTCTGACTCTGGACTGAGTGATGCTTCTGTCCAGACTCCTGCCCAGTCTGATAAATTCAACAAACTGGAGCAGTTTTTCTGCTCATACACATCTTCTGTGCAGCGAGGCAGACTGTGTGCTTTAGACCAGGGCTTCTTCACCTTTCTGACCTCTGGGCCCAGTTTGTTGAACATAAAGTGACACGAGGTCCAGTCACACATTACTAATGTATGGATCAAAATTATATTTCATTTTTATTGTATTTACATCATAACTAAACTATCATAACTAACATAACTAAAT